AAGCTTTCCCCTGTAGCACCTGCAACAAACACAAGATGAGAGGAGCCTTCTGGCAGCAGCATTCCCATTAGTGATCCAGTACTGTTTGTGAAGCCTAGAAAGCAAGTGATTCCTTCCACAATGTCCCAGTTGCTCGCGAACGTGGTGTAAAATGAGAGAGGAGCTGTGCTGATCTTTAGCAAGAATGATTGGATGTTTCATATCATCTGGCATAGCTGCTTTGCTGAGCCGCCCTCCCACTCTCAAAAATCAATTTCTTAGCACTGTGTCAAGCTTGTAAATGTGACTGCTTTTCTTCTCTCCACATGTGCCTGTTTTCAATGCAGCTATTTCATCACTGAACCTTTCCAGTTGACAATACTTGATGATGGCATTCTCAGCCGCAGAAAGGTCTTCAAGAGACGGAGTTTGAAGTCTCCACCTTCCTCAGTGTAGATCTCTCCACCACATCCTCCACTGAGTCCAGCTTGAGTCCTACCATAGAGCCAGCCTTTTTCACCAGTTTGTTAAGGCTTGCACCTTTGTGTTTGATGCTTCCTCGCCAGCAGACTGCAGCGTAGAACAGAACACTTGCCACCACAGACTGATAAAACATCTGCAGCATCTCACTACAGATGTCCATTGATCGGAGTCTTCTCAGGCAAAAGAGGCGGCTCTGCCTCTTACTGTAGATAAGGTCTATATTCTTAGACCAGTCCAACTTATTATCCAGATGTCCACCAAGGTATTTATATGATGTCACCACATATGATGTCCACTCTGCAGGTGTTCACTGGCTGAAGAGGTTGTTTGGATCTATGGAAGTCTATGACCATCTCCTTTGTCTTTGAGGTGTTGAGGAGGAGGCAGTTTTTGTGAATCCAGTCACTGAAGGCTCTTATCAGATCTCTGTATTCAGCTTCTTGTCCATTTCTGATACATGCCACAACAGCGGTGTCAGGTGAGTATTTCTGGATGTGGCAGGACTCAGTGCTGTATTTGAAGTCTGACATATACAGTGTGAACAGGAATGGCGCCAGCACTGTCCCATGTGGAGCCCCTGTACTGCTCATGAATGTCCCAGAAACACAGTTCTCCAGCCTGACAAACTGTGGTCTACCTGTCAGGTAATCTGTGATCCAGGAAACACAGGAAGGCTCTACTCCCACCTCTGTCAGCTTGTCTTCGAGTATGGTGAGTTGGATGGTGTTGAATGCATTTGAAAAGTCGAAGAACATGATCCTCACATAAACCCCAGGTTCCTCCAGGTGAGACAGGGCACTGGTCTGTAGTCATTGAGTTCAGCAGGACATTTTGTTTTTGGTACTAGCACAATGCATGATGTTTTCCACGGAGTAGGTACGCACCCCAGCTGTACACTCAGATTGAAGATCTTATGGAGAGGTTGACACAGTTCTACGGCACAGTCTCTAAGCAGCCTTGGACAGACACACCATTTGGACCAGCTGCCTTCCCAAGACAAAGTCTTCCAAGCTCCATTCTCACCCCTGTTTCTGTGACAGACAAGGACTGGAGTTCTATGAAGGAGGCAGTTAAAGTGGTCACCTACAATGTCACCTACATGGAGAATGGCATTAGGCAGCACCTCAATCCACATGGTCTGATCAAGTAAGGGTATGCGTGTGGCATTCCCACCATTTCTGCTTGCGTCATAGACACACGGGGTTTGGCAGTGGTAGGACACTGAGTGTTGGGCACCATGGGTGTAAGACCACAGATGCCATTCATGCTATCCCACACAAATGGTTTACTAGGCCAAGGTAGTGGATGTCTTTGGTCAGGGTGCACATGCGTAGAATAGGGGCTAGATATAGATCAGGGGCCTATTCTACGAAGCAGGATTACTGTTTAGCGAGGTAACTTCGAGGGTAAGTTCGGGGTTTCCTGTTTTACGACGCGGGTTCACCTCTTAGTGAGACAAGTCTCCATGGCAACATATGCTGAACGGCTAACCTGCTCGGGGGAAGGTTAGGTTCCAGATTGAACGGAGTGTAAAGCTCTCTCGAAAAATGGCTTGTCTGTTCTCGGAGGATCCTATAGACCTTGTAGCGGGGCGGATAATAGCATATTACAGGAGAATCGTTCACTTGCGGATAAAAGCACTAAAATTGGCACACATACTCCTTGGGAGTTGCTCTTTTGATATTTCCGTCTGGCCAAATGAAAATTCAAGATGGCAGCCATTTTTCAAGATGGCCACCATTGAAAATACAGTAATATTGCATTTTGCAATAAAATCCTAAAAACTTGTCCTATTTGGATGAACTTGGTGTCTAATCATACATTTTCCACTATGCAGAATCCAAATTTGGACCCATGGACTTACTTACTGGCTTCCTTGTACCATATTTCAGTCTCAGAATCCTAATATTCTGGTATTTATGAAGTTTACATTATGTCCGACTTGGGTAAAATGGTTGGTAACCTATATCTTAGTGTTGTTAGAGGTTTAGTCAGAGCAGTAGATTAAAACAGAGTGGCGACAACTTCAGATCTCGCCGCTGGAGCAGTCACGTGGTTCATGTACCCCTCCATAGTTCCAAAGCAGCCTGCACTGTCCATGCTCTTCAACGGGGCAGACTGCAGTGAGCACGCATTTAAGAGGTAAATATTAAAATTAACCGTAAAAAGTCAACATTTGCAACTCTTATTGGATTACTGTGTACACGTCAAAGTCACGTACGCATATTTAGCGGCTGGATGACAAATAAAAGTGAAATAAGACAAGTTTGGTAACACGTGTTACTTTTTAATAAGAGAAAATAATACAATAAAGTGGTAAGTAACAGGTGTTACAAGCTGTTTAAACAATTGTGCAATGTTTTGGTCTTGCAGCATGGCCTGCATAACATTTTTTCATGTTAAACATACGCCTTAAATGCTGACAGGATTTAAAAAGTAGCGGCCCCTTAATTCTATCATCCCATAAGCAGAAATCAAATTACACAGCACTTATGTTTGTCTAAAAAGAATAAACTGCATATAACATCGGGAACTGATAAAGGCTGAAATCTAAAATAAAGCCCATAAGTAACCATCTCAACATATAATTGATGATGATGATTTATCTGTGATTCATAACTCAGTCACACAATAAATTTTGGCAGGCCTCTACAGCTGACGACGTCCAGCTAGCAGGCCGTGGCTAAAAAATCGATCCCAATTCCTTACTAAAAAAACGTAATTACATTTGTAATTACAATTTGAGCATACTAAAATTAAAATCATTTTACATATAAAGGGGTCCCTCGATACCATTTACACACGTATTGACATTACATTCATTGATACAATATTTTACCTCGGGGAGTGTGGGAGCAAACCGTGGCTAAAAAATTGATCCCAATTCCTGACTAAAATAACGTAATTACATTTGGGATATACATTTTTACATATAAAGGGGTCCCCTCGATATCAATAACACATGTATTGGCATTAAACTTGTTGATATTTTATCATTTAACCTCGGTGAGCGCTTGCCTTGTGGCCATAGAAGCTAACGGCGTCCGACGTGACAGGCAGTCATGTTGGAACTATTACGAGTTCCATAACCCGGAAGTGGGGTCCGCCGGGCTGTGCAGCGTATGTCTATGGGAGTGTCGCCACTCTGTTTTAATCTACTGCTCTGGGTTTAGTGTGTGTGTGTGTGTGTGTGTGTGTGTGTGTGTGTGTGTGCGTGCATGCGTACGTGCGTGTGTGTGTGTGTGTGTGAGAGAGAGAGAGAGAGAGAGAGAGAGACTGAAAAAAATGTGTCTGACAACAAACGACAACAAATTCGAGCTGTTCAGCTTTCTGGCTGATCAGATAGCATGTGTGGCCTCACCAAATGTGGTCATTGTGACCAAGGAAGATCATGTTATCAGCAACAGTACGATTAATCTGGCTGGGGTGGCACCATGCAGTCATGAAGAAGCTGACACCCGGATCTTTGTGCATGCCAGGCATGCCACAGAAGCAGGCGGCAAGGTCATCATGGTCAAAGCCAACGACACAGATGTTGTTGTCATCGCAGTGAGTGTTCTGCAGGCTCTTCAGAACCTCGGTCTGCAGCAGTTGTGGGTTGCCTTTGGCCAAAGACAGAACCTGAAGTGGATTCCTGTTCATGACCTGTGCGGCACTCTTGCAGAAAAGAGCAAAGGGATGCTCTTCTTCCATGCATTCACTGGTTGCGATGTTGTTTCAGCATTCCGTGGCAAAGGGAAGAAGTCTGCTTGGCAAACCTGGAATGTTTGTGATGAGGCTTCCAGTGTCTTCAGCAAACTCAGCCATTACCCACCTGTATTGGATGATGAAGACCTGAAAACCCTGGAGAAGTTTGTGGTCATGTTGTACGACAAATCCAGCACAGCTGAAGGTGTCGACGATGCAAGGTTGGACATGTTTGCTCGGAAGCAGAGGCCGTACGAAGCCATTCCTCCAACTTGATCAGCACTTAAGCAACATGTCATGCGTGCATCCTACCAAGCGGGCTGCATCTGGAGTCAGTCAATAGTATGTCAACCAGAAACACATCGTCCTGCCAACTGGGGCTGGACCAAGAAAGAAGATCTGTGGCAGATTGTTTGGACAGAGCTCCCACCCATTGCAGAGAGTTGCCAGCAGCTGGCCAAGTGTGGATGCAAGTCGGAATGCTGCGGTCGATGCAAATGCTACTGCTTTGGTCTGACCTGCACGGCACTTTGCAGCTGCAGGTGTGAGGTTTAGAAACGCTGTAGTAAAAGCCTACTCATCCAAACAGCCTACATGTAAAAAAAAACGAAAAAAAAAAAAACTTGCCTCGGTGGGATCACTACCTTATCGTGGTGAGGCAGTTTGTGTGTCTCCATGACCCCTAGAGCTATTCCGACTGGAGTATTGTACTCCTGGCAGGGTCACCCACGCCAAACAGCTCGAAGGATAGAGACCAGACAAAGAGTGATCCCATGGTGCTACCATGCATTTTAGGTGAAAT